AAATTTTTAATAAAGACGTTATATTTATACAAATAAATCCGAAACTTGTGCGATGTAAAATATACAGCATATAAGTACCTATATATTTTACGTTTTAACACGGATCGTGCACATTTATAAATTTATTAGTTGCGATCATCGATTGAAAATTCACCGATGTAAACTCCAACTCCACCTGTCTTACCTACGACCTACCTATATTGCATTTTAGATTCTGAGCGGAGCGATGAATGTATTGGTTTTACAATGATGTATGTTTTTGTTTATATTTTTATATTTTTGTGTCTGTCATCACGTTTTAGGACAGTAAAAGTGCTTCGATTTTCTTCAATAGTACCTTTTCTGATAGGAAAGTGAATCTAGTTGGTACTTTGGGGGGTCAAAAGTAAACATTTTCCAGTAGTTTTCACAAGCGCCGGGAAAAACAACATAAAAATTAAGGAAAAACGGGAATTTTTACGCAAAATTGGTTTTTCAAAAAATCGATTTTGGTTATTGGTGTAACTCTAAAACAAATGAACGTATATACATGAAATTTTCACTGGTTGTTAATATTTGCATTTTCTATACACGATAACATTTTCAAAATATTTTGAACTGTTTAGGGACATTTTCATTTTCCATTTTTTTTTAGTTTTTTTTCTAAAAATATCAATAAAATGTTATTTGTTGGTTGCGAAAGCTTGAAAATTTAATAGAAGGCTCCTAATATGTTGTTTCAAAGGCAGATGAAAAGTATTAAAAATCCTTAGTCACAATTTTTTTTATAAGCATTTAAAGTTCAAAAATTGACAAAATATGGAAAAATCACGAAAATTAGCAAATTATTTTGAGTTAAGAATTCGTAAAAATTTTTCTTTTTAAATCTAAGATTTGAAAATGAAACACAAGATTCCTTATAAGATTATCTACCTTTATCAATAAAAAAATCTCTACCGGACAGTCAAATTAAATTTTTATGAGCGTTTGAAATTCAAATTTTTACAACATTGGATTTTCACTCGATTTCTCATGTAGCGATTTCCTTATTTTGTTGTAATTCAAAAACGAATAACTGTAGATACATGAAAATTTCACTGAATGTTTATATTAGCATTTCCTATACACCATACAATTTTGAAAATATTTTGACTCTTTTTGAGCTGTTTATGGACATTTACAGCTTTCAATTTTTTTTAGTTTTTTTTTCTATAAATATCAATAAAGTTTTATCTGTTGGGCCAAAAAGTGTAAAAATTTAATACAAGGCTCCTGATATATTGTTACAATATCAGTTGAAAAATATTAAAAATACATAGGCACGATTTTTTTTTATAAGCATTTAAAGTTGGAATTTTGACAAAATTTATCAAAATCTTGAAAATTATCAATCGTTGGAATTAAAAAATTATAAAATGTTCAGTTTTTATAACTAAGAGTTGAAAATTTAAAACAAAGATTCTCTTAAATAATTCATACTGTAACCAAAAAATCTAAAAAATATATAAACACACTTATTTTTTACAGACATTTTAATTTCAAATTTAGACAAAATTTCATATTTAAACCAAGAATTACGATTTTAGTTATTTTGTTGTGATTAAATAATATTATTCGTGGGTACTTGAAACTTCTAAAGTGTACTATTATATATCTGTGACAGTATCACGGTTTTTGTTGATGTATAACGCGTTATAAGTATCTAATGAATATTGTGATATGATTAATTTGGAATTTATTATAGGTCAATTTTTTGTTTAATACCATAGATATGTATATAATATGTCTTATACATAGACTGACATACCGTCACCGCTCAGAATCGTTTTTCTTATACAATGATATTATATCATTGAATTCAAATTTAATACTATCCATTATACAGTGACCCACTTGTAACCTACTGTACAGCAGAGCGACACCCACTTGCCCACCTTTTTTTATAATACTCTTATACAGTTATACGTCTATATTTATTTAAATCATCACGTGAGGCAGTGATGGATATTAAATTTTTACTATAGTACCTACCTATAATTTACGCTGTAAACCTTTATTATATTTAAATTTTAGATATACAATTTTTTATATCTTTCCAAAAGTCAAAACGGCCACTTTGATAAATCTACAATAAACAGTAATCTGATGACTAAACATATCTGTTAAGTCTTAAGAGGGCATCTGAACTTAGTGCTACAACTTATAGATAACAAACGAAATAGGTACATTCAACATGAAAATTTCACATATTTCTGGTTATAGTTTAGGTCACCTGGCTATAATACAAAGAATTAAAAAAATATATTATATTTTCGAGAAGATTTTGAAAAAAATTGGAGAAAAGAACACATAGGGGAAAAAATCGAAAAATTTCTTACTTCATTGGGCAGTAAACCAGACGGAAACCCGTCATACAGAAATTACCTTTTTATCACACTCCAAGAAATAATTGCTACAAATACGAGCCTATTAGATACTTATTTGGTATAATATGCTGATGTCCTGTATACTCCTTTGGTATCTTTATAAGCTTTTAGACTTTTGCAGAGTAACCCTCATACAAATTACCATTTTAACACATTATGGCTATTGGCTACGTGTTCACTGCAGAACGCTGAAAGAATAATTTTTTAATGTTCCCAACATTTGAGGGGAGAGTTGCAGGCAACTAGGGAAATATTTCTGGGGGACGAGAATTATATCAGCAACACAGACTAATATATAAACAATAATAATATCTACAATGATATTAATCGATGGTCGCTCGTTGCTGCTGCAGGGATTCCAGTTGGCGCACTCGCTGGGCGGCGGCACCGGTTCCGGACTGGGCACACTTCTGATATCGAAGATCCGCGAGGAGTACCCCGACCGCATAATGAATACGTACTCGGTGATGCCATCTCCAAAGGTGTCGGACACGGTGGTGGAGCCGTACAACGCGACGCTGTCCGTGCACCAGCTGGTGGAGAACACTGACGAGTCGTACCTGATCGACAACGAGGCGCTGTACGACATATGCTTCCGGACGCTCAAGCTGACCAACCCGACGTACGGCGACCTCAACCACCTTGTGTCGCTGACAATGTCCGGCGTGACCACGTGCCTCCGGTTCCCCGGTCAGCTGAACGCCGACCTCCGCAAGCTGGCGGTCAACATGGTCCCGTTCCCCCGGCTCCACTTCTTCATGCCAGGATTCGCGCCTCTCACGGCCCGCGGCAGTCAGTCGTACCGTGCCATGAGCGTGCCCGAGCTCACTCAGCAAATGTTCGACGCCAAGAACATGATGGTCGCCTGTGACCCACGACACGGCCGCTACCTCACCGTCGCCGCCATATTCAGGTTAGTATATGGCCGTGCATGACCAATGTCCTATGTATAATTTATTATTATACCTACAAACTCGTGGGTGCAAATAGCACAAATAATAATTTTTTGGGGTGGGGGCTGTCACCATAATATTGATTGAAAAAAAAATCGTCCCCAATTCAACATCTATTTTTCTTTTGTTCAGGATAGTTACTAGTTTAAGTAGGTACATCTTTAATTACCTACCTCCTTAAAATTGCAGTATTCTCTTAGGTATTTTTGTCATTCAAAATCATCTAGCTTTGTATCAACATAAAATGTATTTGCTGTGCTATTTTTGTGAATGTGTAAAACAAACATGCACAAAAACTACAAGTCATCAGTGTCATCTGCTCCACCACTCTTACTCATAACAAAGAATATTTTTAATTAAAGTGAATAGCGGTCACCTGATCTAACCAAATTACTGGCCACAGGTGGAACCGTATACAATAATAAATCGTAGTCATAAATTCATTTATGACCAATTTTTCTGTCATTTAACGAAAATACTTAAATGCTTCAACTGTAAATTATATTCGCAAGCACCCAAGTGACAAGTGCAGGTGTCTTTCTTACATAGGTGACAGGTGCATCATAATATTATCTAATATAGACAACATTACGATGGATTAGTTAACCGAGGTCGTCGTCGCAAACGACTATAATATCCTTTTTCGAGTTAATATTTTATGCATTCAACTCACAGGGGTCGCATGTCCATGAAAGAGGTGGACGAGCAGATGTTGAACGTGCAAAACAAGAACTCGAGCTACTTTGTCGATTGGATCCCAAACAACGTGAAAACGGCCGTTTGCGATATCCCGCCATGCGGTCTGAAGATGAGCTCCACGTTCATTGGAAACACCACGGCCATCCAAGAGCTGTTCAAGCGCATATCCGAACAGTTTTCGGCCATGTTCAGAAGGAAGGCGTTCTTGCATTGGTACACCGGCGAAGGTATGGACGAAATGGAATTCACCGAAGCTGAATCCAACATGAACGATTTGATCTCCGAATACCAACAGTATCAGGTACAGTTGTGCTTATAAATGTATTATTATTATTTTTTTTTTTTTACAAGATATTTTATCACATAAGATCAAGAACCACTTATTGTCACAACTCACAATATTGTACCTATCAATAGGTGTTTTTATAAATACATATGAATATAAATAAATATATGTAAATACACCTTAGTAGAGGTAGTTGGTACCCACCTATTTAGTATTTTCTAATATGCCTGTTATCTTGCAGGAGGCATCGGTAGACGAGGAGTACATAGAAGAAGAAGAAACCGAAGAGACAGATATGTGCGATTAAACTTATTTCTGTATGTTTCATCGTTCTAACGTAACCTTAATTTATGTATTTTTTTTTTATATAGAAACATATTATGTATAATTTTTCTCAATTAAATTATTAAACATTTTGTATTTGATTTTAATTAAGTTTTGTATTTTAATAGTTTATGATTTTTAAATATATATTATATATTATACATTTTAATCAATAAACTATAATCAGCGTTTAAAATGCAAGTTATAATTAAATATAATAATAATAATAGAACATCGTACAAAACAATATTTACAAAATATTTCATATATTTTAGTAAACCTAATAAAAAAAACATTAATATTTAATTTTATTTAATTTTTAATCAACAATGCTTATAGTTTGGTTTCGTGTCGAGTGGTGAGAGCATTACGATCAGGGAGCCGCAAGGGCCGTGGTGATAGTTTTGGCTGCGAGGTGTCCGACTCATCATCACCAGAGTCTACATCTCCATCACTTGAATTTGTGGATGCAACAAAGTGATCGGAACGTATAGTTTTTCTGGGCCTTACTTTTCTGTAGAATTTAAACTCTCTGGGCAGTGTGTATGAACGAGGCAGTGATATCTGCGAATCTAAATCTGATGGTGATTTGTATGATTTGTACATCAATGTGAACACTTGATCGTTTGGTTGAGCATTGTTTGCTTGAGCACTAAAAATGTGATATTGATTAATATTTTACAATTTAACAAACACTCACATTATGGGAGGTAAAACTTACCTATAAGGTGGAGCAATCCAATGTTGTTGTTGCAAGTATCCCTGAGGAGACAACAGTACTTCTCCATTCTCTGGCGGTTCTTTTAACTTGCCTTGCCTAATCTCCTCCTCAATAGCTCGGAGTTCGGCTAGTTGGTTTTGTCTTTTTTCTTGTAATTTCTGCCGGATATCCACGTGAGAGCTGGCACTCTCGTTTTCACTGGAACCCTGTTGGCTATGATTGGATGGCGGCGGCTTGCACCAAAACGCAACACTATCTCGACCACTTGTGCCAGACGGTGGGGGCACAAACGTAGTCGGCTTCTTTTTTTTGCGCTTTTGCATGGCTGCCACATATGGGTTTGTGAAACGACAGTTGAAAACGCCAGGAATACCATTATGTACACTTGCTGGCAATGCGCTATAATACCTCTGGTTTCTTTGCAAGGTTGGAGGGGGATCACTAGCAATAGCTTGGTTGTGGTAACCACCTGGTGGTATGTTTTCATACACACTGCTAAAGCTGTGTCTCCTTATAAGGTCAGTCTGTTAAATTGATAAAAAAAATAATGTTATTAATAGAGTTAAGCATAGAGTATCAGTGAAATATATTATATATCAACAATACTTTAACATATCAGTATACTGGTAAGGTCAATCAATTATAAATTCAGTAAAAATAGTAAATAACTAATTTGTAATAATTGGTAATTAAAAAGACAATAATTTCAATAATTACACAGTGTAATACCTATGGTATAATCACAAATAAATATATTTTATATTAGTAGATTTTTCCAAGACACTCAGATTTTATACCTAATGATTAAATTTCTAGTCTTAAAATTTAGTCTCCGCCAGTTAATTTTGCCCTTTGATGAAAATAAAAATGTTATTCTGGACCCAACATCTACGGACTCATATTATATGCTCAATTATATAATGTAGATAAATTAAATGTTTTTTTTTCTAACAGTCCACCCAACAATTTAGTTAGGTGTGAACTATTAATTAAAGGTACATAAATTAAATTTTTTATTTATTAGTATTGTTAAGGTATTAATTATATCTCTAGTCATAATATAAATATTGTAATTAACTGCAGTCTTACCTTGCCATTAGGCACATTTAATTGATCTTTATACTTGGCTTCCAATGCTAGCTTTGCTGTTGAGTTGTTACTATTTGTAGCATTGCTTAGTCTGCCTCCAGATTCATATTTCAATCTTCGTACATGGAAAAACTGATAATAAACTGCCATGAACACAAGACCACAACAGAACAGCCCAAGAACAATAAATGGTTTGACTGCATCACCGCTGTCAATGCTCCACACAAACATAAGAAGAGCGTTTTCTAATGCCATCACCACATAAAACATCAACTACAAAAATATTCATTCAAATTAATAAGCAATACATATTGTACATAATATTTTAAAGAATGTAACCATATTATAGTAGTCGTAAAACAATTAAAAATTTATATTTCTAAAATTTAAAATGTAAAATAGTACCTATTGAAATCAAGAAATATCAATTACATTTACTTTACTACAGTAGGCAGATAAGATACTGATTAATAGTTTAATTTAAAATTAGTGTAAAATTAATAAAATTGATTTATAGTACCCAAAATATATAGAATATTGAGATAGAAAAACAAAACATTATTAAATACAAAAAAGAGAAAAACATTATTGGGAATGCAACAAAACAAATATGCACAATCCGCATTGTACCAACATAATTAATATCACTAATTTAAACTAAAAACCAAACACCTAGGTAAAACAATATTTTTTCATTTAAAAATGTGTAGTTGTACAATAGTTAAAAACTTGATTATAGGTAGAACAATAAATATAAAAACTTTAATATTTACAAGGTATTTAAGTATAAAATGGATTTCAATAGTTTTTTCACTAAATATTTAACACACCGTAGGTACTCACCATTTTTTCTCTATGATTGTTCTCCAGTAGGTTAACATATTCGAACGTGAACACAAAAGCTAAGAGTGCAAACAAAAAAGCTTTACGTTTAGGAGACATCCGTTCACCGTGAAATACATTCTTGGGCGAATGTAGCCATAGTAGCATTGACAACCAATGTAAGCCGAGTACCAACAGCACCCAATATTTGTAAATAGCGGCATAGGCGGTCAACGAAATGACTCTGGCCCCGACAGTGCCCAAACGCCACAGGAACTGCACAGTGACATAACAGCCATCGTTACAAAAATTGTAAACAACATACATAGGTGCAACTGTTAGGTTGATAAACTGAGAGACATGTACCTGAAATATAACCCCGAGCCACGTGAGGACTAGCCTGTGGACGTTCTGCATGCGCACATTCTTGCCGAACGACGCCAGAGCCCAGCACACGCTGACGGTGGATAGCGTGACGGCCACCTTGTTGAGGTCACGCAAGTGTTTGCGGTCGCCACCGTCCGTCCACAGCAGGTAGGATTGCAACAGCAGCAGCGGCATTGACTCACAGAACGCGTGCAACAGGCGCAGCATGCACAGGTCGCGCACCTCGAACTTGACGTACCGCAGGTCGACGGGCAGGAACAGCTTGAAGTACCTAAAACGAGACACGGCGGACGTCAGATAAACCGTAGGCGGTGGGTGAATGGGTACAAAAATTAAGGGTGCTCACCTCCACAGGACGCCCAGCTGGACGAAGTGCAACGCCTGCACGGCCGACCGCTTCACCCGGTCGGCCAGCGTGGACTTGTCGCCGACGGCTCGCGCGGCCAGGTACCAGCGCAGCGACATGGTCTGCTCGACGGTGGCCGATGCCCCGACGAACAACATGGTCAGGACGAACGGCACGTAGCGGCCATGCGAGTAGAGCGCGTAGCCCATGACCACGTCGAACACGATGTCGCAGAAGTAAGCGGCCAGCGAGATGATGTTGAACAGGACGTCGCACAGCGGCAGGAACTCATACTGGGCCATGGGACGATGGTCGAGTGATCATGTTTTGGCCCGTCGTCGTCGCGGTCGTGACGACGACCGGAGACTTTAACGGACGTCGCGTGCCTAAGTCATGACACCACGTCGGGCAAGCGTATCATCGCGAGAAACGACACACAGCCAGGGTGGAAAAACTCGCACTGATCTGACGCGATGTCAACAATGTTATTATAATTCGTTATCGTCGTGGAGACGTCGACGGAAGACGTGATGGACGTTGGTCTTCGGCCTGCTGCGTCACTTACCTGTTGTACGCGCGAAAATACGGCCGGAAAAAACAAAGGTAGCGATGATAATAATATTGTTCTCTTCACAACCGTTATTGTAGCCGCTCACCGACACTGGTCATTTTATCGTAGTCGTACTTTTTATCAACCGAACGACTCGGAGAATATAATAATAATTGATGCCCGTCGTTATCCGTTTCGATTGTCCGCGGCCCTGTGCGAGTACGATGCTGCGGAGATGTGACGACGGACACACGCACACGCACGGGCGCGTGCACCCGCGAGCGCCGTACTTGCGTCTCGCACGGTCACACACGCGCATTCTCGGCGGGACGCGCATATTTGCCAACAGGTGGCGGGCCCGGTGATTTGAGAACCCCTGCGACGTGGGTATGGAACGCGCCACTGTCCGAACTCCGAGTGGTCCGACGCTCCACTAGTCACTACTCCAGCAATCCAGTCTCCAAATCTCCAATAGTCCGACGACAAGGTCTACAACTACAACTCTCCTGTAGGCTACATACATGGCCACGGTCTTATATATAAGACCGTGGACATGGCTAATAAAATAGACCATAAAATAAAGATAAGACGGCGCCTCTCCGATTATACCACAGCTGTCCACCGGTGCATTGCCATCCTATCCAAGACCGGGTTAAAATAATTAATGTAGAGGCCCTAAAAATGTAACTAATATTATGACTTGTGTAAAAAATAATTACATTATAATTTTTCACTTGGTTTTAACTTTGTAAATTTTTTACAATGAAGTAGTTTTAATTTAGATAAAATGTATGGTACCTATATAAATAATATTATATGTAAAATAAATAGCTCAAAAATATCCACGATAGAAGTAAAGAACCTAATCCCCGTTTTTCAGAATTTTAAATTGTATTGAATTTACAATGATAATTGATGAAGTATGTTTTTTGTGTCCATCATCACTTATTGTTTAATAAAAATGCTTCAATTTTCAACTTTCAGCATGGTTTCTAGTAGAAAATTGGATCATTTGGGGGGGGGGGGGTCTACAGTATAAATTCCTAGTACTTTTCTAAATAACCATGAAAAAAAAGGAACTGTCATGCAATATCATTTTGTTTTTTGGTGTAACAGTAACACTGTACACTAAATAACTGTAAATTCTTGAAATGTTCACACAAAATGTTTATTGAGCGGAGCGAAGGGGTTAGCCATTCTATAAATATTTAATTATTAATAAAATTGTTTTTCTCCTCCGAAACTACTGGACCAATATTCACGAAACTTGAAATATGTATTCATTATTATCTGAACTCTGCATAAATTAAGTTTGGTGTTTTTAGACGCTGTCGTAAAGTAATTACGATTTTTTTTTTGTATAGTTACCTCCTTTTCAATAAAAAAATTTGGGCTATTGAAAATTGCGCCCACTGCCCACAGGTAGTAAAAATAATATAGTAAATTGTGCCCGTGTATCTTGAAGTCGACCTTGAATTCATCGCTATATATCTATTTTATGTAGGTTTGTAGTCGTCAATTTATTGGTGTAAAACTAGTAAAAGTCGAACGTTTATCGCTTTAATCGTTATGATGTTAACTACCTATCAATAGTGACTTTACGTAGGTATTATTTTAGTAAGTTGTTTGCGTGCAACATTGCAGCCGCACATTACCACAACACAAATGGATATTATAAATAATGGATAGTGGATTTAGCCACAAAGGCTATTTTTGAACAACTTAATATAGGTATCCACACGGCTACACATATGATTTGAGGCCTTAAAGGCCCTCGCTACTGCTGCCAATTTTAGCTCAAAAGACCTTAAGTTTTGACAAAATTAAAATTAGTTTACGTTGTACGATTTTAATTTTGAAAAATAATTTCAACTAGGCAGAAAGTGGTCTATAGATGGTATGTAAGACTTTGTAAAAATTCAATCTTATATTATTGTGAAGTGTGCAATTGAAAACTTGAAAATATGAGTTTTTCCAAATCATAATTAAAATTAAGGGGCCTCGCTATTGCCATCAATTTTAGCTGAAAAGACCTAAGTCCTAAAGTATTGACAAAATTAAAGTTAGTTAACGTTGTCCAATTTTGATTCTGAAAAAAAATTTGAACTCCCCAAAAAATTGTCTATAGGTGGTATGGAACACTTTGCAAAAACTAAAATTTTATATTGTTGTGAACTGTAATTGAAAACTTGAAAAATCATAATTAAAATTAAAATTAAGATTAAAAACGGAAAATGTTTCATACGACCTACAAACATTTTTCTGCTAAATTTAAATATTTTTTCAGAATCAAAATCAAACAACGTTAACTAACTTTAATTTTGTCAAAACAAATGTATGTTTTTGTAAAATTTGTGTAGTGAAATTGATATGGTTATCGAGTTATTGACATGCGCATGAGAGAGAGATACCCCATTTAATTTCACTCACCCTAATAAATAATAATCATTTACAACTAACACATAGAGCCCGGACGGCTATGCAAGATTAGAAATTGCCTAAGTGTTGACCATTAAATAATGACCTTAGGGAGGCCCCTTAAAATTAAAAACGGAATGATTCATATGATCTTAGATCTACAGGCATTTTTCACAGAATTCAAATACTTTTTAAGAATACAAATCAGGCAACGCCAACTTAAATCTGTTAACTTTAATTAATTTTTTCAAAACAATAAGTATCTAAGTTATCAAAAGAATGTCGTTTTGATTTGTATTGTGAATTTTATATTGTCATTAATTTATTGACAAGTGCATGAGCCTACGAGAATACCAGCATTGAATTTTGCAAGTGGGTGTCACTCTGCTGTACAGCAGATTACAAGTGGGTCACTGCAATGGATGGTGTTAAATTTGAATTCAATGATATAATATAATTGCAAACGAAAAAACGATTCTGAGTGAAGACAGTCAGCCTATGATATTACTAAGTATATTTGATGATATTATTGTGAATAAAGTAATTTATATATTATTACTTATTTACCTATTTATAATATTATTATTTTATTTGTTGCTATAGAAATAAACAAAGCATCAGAAATGCTTAAATACTAAGTCTATTTGATGATATTATTGTGAATACAGCAATTTATTCATCTATTTACGTGGAATCATGTTTTAAATTTTCAATCCTTAGCTATAAAAGTTTAACATTTTTTAAAATTTTTAGCTACAAAATAATTTTTAATTTTGATAAATGTTGTTAAAATTAGAAATTTAAATAATTATAAAAAAATTGGGCCTATGTATTTTTAATATTTTGAACTACCATTTTAACTACTATCAAGAGCCATGTATTAAATTTTCAAGCTATTTGACACAACGAATACAATTTTATTGACATTAATAGAAAAAAAAACTAAAAAAAATTTTCATATAACTGTATTAAACAAATTTTAGTAAATACAATTAAAATTAAATTTGCACAAGTAGTTTACCTAACATACTGGCAGCGCAATTAAACATTATCAATTTGTAAATTGTTTGTTTGGTGAGGTCCTTGTATGCTTAAAGTAGGTCCAGCTGTTATTAAGTCCATACTTTTCATCATAAAATTTGTGTTAAGAATTTTCCAGGTGTTTTCTGCTTGAGGATCTTCTCTAAGTATAAATTGTTGTTCAAACATGCCAACCATTCTTCCAACACCTTGATGAAGTGTTCCACCAATATGCACTTTTACTAAACCATGTGATTCTTTTTTCCATTTAACATCGCCTAAATGTGGTGAAAAAAAGAGTAAGTGTTCTTTCTTGATACCTAATAAGCACTGCAATGTAGATGTAGAATCTTCACAAGTCTCAAAGATTTCATTGCTGCCACCAAGAATTTTCAATGACATTGTACAATTTTCATAAAAATGACGACAATCCAGTTGGTTTTTTCCTGGAATACCAAGATCATTTAATAAATCATAAAAATGTTTAGCAAACATTTCAATAAATTCTTCTAGTAATTCTTTATCACGATCTTTTCGAGATTTTGGATTGGGTTCTATTGCAGGAGTATTTAGTGTTGGTATTTGCATAGGCATCTAAAAAATATACAAATTAATATTATAACAAGTTAAGTTTTAGTGTTGTAAACTATTCTAAGACATTTGAATCTACAACAAAAATAACTGTTGATTCTCACAGTCAATATTATAATCAAATTCTGGATTCTCTTAAATATTGTTTTTATACATTATACAATTTACTGTATAAGAACAATTTTTAGTTATGTAATATTATTATTTTAAACTAATTTGAGATTCAATGATCTACCTATAGATTATAACAGTACCTCAATAATACAGAATTATTATTAATAATTATATTATAAATTATAATATATAACCGTTTATATGCTTTTACCTAGTAATCTTTTAGTAACGGTTAGAACCGTAAATGTTGTATGGAATTTTCTAACTCTATATATCATAATAAATATTATCTATGAAAAGTAATAAGGTTAAAGTTAAAAATATATCTTTTTTGCATGGTGGTCAATGGTCATAAGAATTGTTTCATGGTTAGAAACTACAAAATAACCTGATTTTTTTAAAAAATATAATTATAATTGCAACACATAGGTGTCTTACGTACCTGTTGAACAGCTTGATATGGTTGAGGATGCATCATGTTATTATTCTGAGAGATTGCAAGCATATTATTAGGAACAGACATTTGCATAGGCTGTACTGGTGGTCTGATGTAATCTGGTTGACTTTCGACTAATGACTTAAAAGCCAAACACAAATCTGCTTTTGTCATATCAGTAGTAGGTATTAAGCCTTTTGAAATTAAAAACTTCAACAACATTGTTATTTGAACTTTTTTATTGGACAATACCCGTACAGAAGGTTGAGATAACAGTAACAATTCAGCATCTAAAACAAGTTACAAGTTATAATAACAAACTTCAACACTTAAGGAATATAAACATTCAACATGTATATAATAAATCATCTATAAACATCCACACCCACAACGGTTGTGAACACCAATTGTCAATGATTACAGATGTAGATTTCGGTAATATTGCACTGTATTTTAGTGGACACTACCATTCTTTTCAAACATATAATTCTAGGTACATAATAATTACAATTTTTTTTTAAATTTAATTAATTTGTTTCAAAATACTTAATGCTTTAACAATGGTTAATGTAACAGTTTTAATATTACAAAATATATTACATATAATATATAAATGCTATTGCTTTACCTTGTCGGGTATTGGCAGAGATTCCACCACCGTGGTAGATGGATCGGACGATTTTGCATAATTCATTTGTTTCGAGCCCGTCCAGAAATTGTTTTAATAACCTTTTCTCACAGTCGGTATCCATTGACCATTGAAATAGCAATTGGAGATTGGAAAATGTAAAATCGCAGTAACTGCAATTGAATATTCACCGACCTGAGATGAAATTATTTTTGTTTTATACAATCTGTGCTAAAACCGACAGATCGACAGGCGTGAGTCGTGAGTGATATTTTATATTTTTTATCTATTGTGTAGTGATAGTGTGATATCTCAGTTTTTCCGGAGTGATAAGGATAAAAAAAAATTTTAAATTCAATGCTGCCAATATTGAAAAGTAAAAATCTCGTCGCAACTGTGAGTTGTGACACCAACCTAATAATGTCTTGAAAATTATCGAATTTTCATTAATTTTCAACGTTAATATTATGTAGTTATTTAAGCTTTAAAATTTAAATAATAAAAAGTGGGCAAGCGGGTGTCGCTCTGCTGTACAGTAGGTTACAAGTGGGTCACTGTAATGGATGGTGTTAAATTTGAATTCAATGATTGAATGATATAATATAATTGCAAACGAAAAACGATTTTGAGCAAAAACGGTCAGTCACTGACAGTCAGCCTATGATATTACTGACTACTAAGTATATTAAATATTTATATATTTGATGATATGTATTATTGTGAATAAAGTAATTTATATATAACTTATTTACGTGGAACCTTGTTTTAAATTTTCAATCCTTAGCTAAAAAAGTGTAAAATTGTATACATTTTTAACTACAAAGTACCTACTTATTAAATTTTAAATTTGATTAAATTTTGTCGAAATTCTAACTATAAATGCTTATAACAAAAAATTGTGCCTATATATTTTTAAAAATTTTAACTGCTTTTGTGACAATATATTAAGAGCCTTGTATTAAATGTTCACACTTTTTTACCCATGACAAATAAAATTTTATTTATATCTATTTATAGACAAAAAAAACTAAAAACATTAAAAACTGACAATGTCCGTAAACAGCTCAAAGAGAGTCAAAATTGAATGGTCTATATAAAATGAAAACATAAACATTCAGTAAAATGTTCATGTATCTACAGTTTTTCGTTTTTGAATTACAACAAAATAACAAAATCACTACATGAGATATCGAGTGAATATCCAATTTTGTAAAATAATGAATTTCAAAAGCTCATAAAAATTTAATTTGAATTGCTTGTGGACATTTTTGTTTGTAAACAGTTCAAAACAGTTAAAAATACTTTGAAAATTTTATCGTGTATAGAAAACGCTAATATAAACAACCAGTAATAATTTCATGTATCTAGAGTCATTTGTTGTAGAGTTAGGTACATCAAAAATTTGATTTTGTCAAAAACCAATTTTGGGTAAAAATTCCGGTTGTTTTTCCTGGCACTTTTGAAAACTATTGGGAATTTTAACCTCCCGAAATGTATATTCAGCAGTTCCAATTTTGTGTTGCTAGTTTAAAGATCAGAGTGAATTCACCTATTATCAAACTTAAATGTAAGAATATTATTTGTGTTCTCTCGTTGATTCTTAGCAAAATATTTATTTTTAAGTGAATTAAGAGCATGTTAAATATTAATATTTCAAAGAATAAAGTTTTTAGTTATTTTATTGTAATTCAAAAACGTTTTTCACGGGGATTCATAAATTTATAAATTGTAGTTTTTTCTATACTCAATGACATTTAAAAAATATTTGATACAATAATTTTAAGCTCTTTTACCTATTTATAACACCCTGAACATATTCACTCTGTTAGTCTGTTCTACGGTAAGGTGGTATTGATTCAAAAGTTAATATCAATAATGTAAAATAATAAAAGTATACACACTATTAAAATATGCAATGTTTTCGGTACTTATAGTATCAATAGTATCTAAATAAGTTACTTTAATAGGGACTTCAAAAAAACATATTATGTAATTTATAATTTAGGCTGACAGTTTCCTCTCAGAATTGTTTTTCGTATACAAATACAACGATATACCTATGGTTGAATTAAAATTTAAACACATTCATTACAGTGACCCATTCGAAACCTTTTGACCCACTTACTCACCTTTTTTCAATATTGCTATTACCTATAGTATTTTTTTTTTTTTATCTTATTAATTTGCAACTATGGTCATTACTCATTACTAATGACTCATTGAAATTTGGAAGCTATAGTATAGTTTGTTATTATTTTATTCTATTACAGTAGGTTGATTTAGTTTCTTTATTATTAATATTGAATTTTTATAATTTATAATATAGCATAATATTACCTATATTATTATATAATTCATTATTGTTATTACTTATTAACTTTTAATCCAAAACTGCCTAACCGTAGAATGGTGTGACGTGTGAATAAGTTCTAGGTATCAATAGGTAATAGCTTAAAATTAATCTATATGATTTGAAAATATCATCGTTTATATGAAATATAATAAATAATAATTTACTTAAAAGTACATAAGTACAAATAATGTTTTGGAATTGCAACAAAATAATTAAAACTATTCTATACGTTTGAATTTTTAATTTCATCCGAATTTGAACTTAAAAAGATCGTACTTATATTTTTTTTCAAAAAAACTACTGATGAGGAACCTTGTATTAAATTTTCTACCGTATCCGATTGAGATGGTCACCATACGAATGATGTCGTGTTTCATACATAAACCGTGTATTCGTTCAGAATCTTGTTGTTATAATAAAAATATAATTCGAAACATTTTTTGAGTATTTTTTAGCAGTAGTATGATATAGCCGATTCTGATACCTGAGCCAGCTGAGCTGCTGAGCCTCCGTCACCACCACCGCTGCAACCGCGAACGTGCGTGACGTATATTATATTCCCCCCTCCCTGCAGCCGCCTCCGCCTACGCGTACGTACGGGCAATTATTTTTATCGCTCACGTTATCAACATATATTTTTATCACACACGTTATTCTAATCATATACATTATTATTATCACGGACTAAGATATAGTCATGAACATTAGAGTATAAATGTCTTCTAAAATCCTCTAATGTTCATGGATATAGTATATATATCTTAGTCCGTGATTATTATAACATTATCATATACATATATTATTGTCAAGGTGGATATCCACCTTGATTATTGTAATCAGTTATCATTTTGTTTATTGTTATCATATATAAGTAATTTCCTAAATAGAATAGACTTAAAAACCTATAATCAAACGCATTAGAATTAAATTTTAACCATTTTAACCATCTGCTTAATGTGGCAAACCGATTCACGTCTTTATCACCAAGATGTCGCAGACATTTACTTAATGATATTAAAATGCCTATTAATTATCCAGTGGAATTCGTTTTTCTCGTGGCATTAATAGGTAACTATTGAGAAAAACGAAAAATGACCTCTCTAAAGTACCAGCTTGCTCCAATTTTCTAAAAGATAAGATACTATATGTTGAAATCAAAGCACTCCTTCTGATAAAAATTTTGTATACAGGATAAAAAATAAAAACCATTTTAAAACAACTAGCTCCGCTCAGAATCTAAAATAAGTACCTAGTATTTAATCAATTTATCAATGTTTAAAATGACAACACTAATATCATAATATTATAGTTTAAGTAAGTTTATATGTAACAATAAAGTGTTATTTATGTATATAATATTATACACTATATTGTAATAAAAATAATATGATGTATTTATTCTTATAATATTATGTTTTCGAAAAACGTGGTTGCAACTTACAATTATTCTGCAGACGCAATACGCGAGTGTTTGACTGCCGCTAGTGAGAGATCGGGTAACCATGGGTTACGTTAATAAAGTAATTTAAAATAAGTATTAGATATAACAAGAATGTACACGGCTAGTGTACATGTTTATAAAAATAAATTGTTATTGTCAATAATAAATAAAGCTTGATTAATATTATATAATTTGACATACGAGGACGCCCGAGGAAAAGATCTTTGGACGTGGTCGAGGAAGATTTAAAAAGGATAGGAGTAAATGATTGGGGAAATATAATTCATGGTCTAGAGAAGTTGTGATCAGTGGCATATTTAGGATTTTGTCATGGGGGGGATATGATTTTATCCAGTACTTATCAACTCGAGGGGGGCTCCGCCCCCCTCACCCCCCTAACTTTAAATACTTAAATATAAAACTACAATTTTACTACAATTTTTTTTATTTTTATTTTACAAAACAAAGTCTAGTTTTCTAGATGTTTTGGACAATTGAAGGGCTCTGTGCAATAACCAGACAGCTCCGTTTTATCATTTTTTTCAGGAAGCACATATTTAATGTTTAATATATATTTAAGTGAAGAATAATAAAAAGAAAAATTATTTTATATACTTAAAATAGTGATAAAAACTGTGGTACCCTTAATTAAGTTGATACATGAATATTTTTTACACTTTTAGCCACAAATAAGAAATTTTTCTTGGAGTTGTCTTGTTTATTGCTCGGAGTTATTAAATCTTTTTTTTTATTTTTTTTATAATGTAAAAATCTTACTAAGAATTAGTTTTTTTTATTTAACTGAGTTAATAATTATCATGTAATTATACTATCAAACAGCATACTTGAGTTTTAAGAAAAAAAAACTAAACATGTACATGATTTTAAAAATAAACAAAAAAATAGTTATAATTTCTGGACAATAAACAAGATAACTCCAAAAATGATTTATTGTTTTTAGTTTTAACTCTGATAAATATACAAATAAATGTATTAAAATAAGCTTAGTAAGTGTATAGAAGTCATACGTTTTTCCACTAATAATATTTAGCTATATATAGTTTAAATATATTACTTTATGAATTTTGTTTATTCTTCAGTAATATTTCTACTTTAACCACTTAGTATTATGTTAACTGAAAAATTAAATTGTTATTCATTTAATTTTACATAAAAACTGGCTATCATACCTTAAAGATAGCGATAGGTAATAATATTAGTCATAGTAGAATGTAAACACATTTAACTACCTACATTATAAATGATATGAACATGGTAAAAGATAGTAAAATAAAAATATTAGTAACATGGATATTTTATTTATCAGCTT